GCCATCGACCAACATCGGGGAATCGCTGCGCAGCTGCCGCTCGGCGGCCGCTATGCAGCTGATAGCTCCCGGCCCCGACGCGGTTGCCGTATCCATCTATACGCAGCAAAAAAACCCCTTTCCGATAATAATAATAATAATAATACCGATAAGGAATATGTTATATATACTCACAAAACCGCGTTCTTCCTTTGTGCTGTGGCTCTTATATACGAGGCCCACAGACACCTGATCCCACGGCCCTTATTTTTTTTTTTTTGTTTCCTTTTTAAAACTATCCTACAACAATCCAGTGGAGCTGTGGCAAACTGTTACCCTTCGCTTTCGCAACCCTCGCGATTCACAGACTGGGTGTGACGGCGGGCAAAATAACACAGGGAAGAAAAAAGGCTCAAAAAGTAAAACGCATGAGCGCCAGAGACACGGAAGGTGGGGTTAAGAACAAGACGCAGGAAGAACCACCCCCCACATACACACACACACGCAGGCGGCGTGGAGAAGGTAAAAAAAAGGTGTGTGTGGTGGGGGGGGGGTATGTGAAGTTACATACAAACTATCTCTCTCTCTCTCTCACACACACACACACACGCAGGCGGCGTGGAAAAGGCAAGAAAAAGGTGGTGGGGAGATGTGAAGTTACATACAAACTATCTCTCTCTCTCTCTCTCTCACACACACACACACACACGCATTGCCAGCCTTTGCAAAAGCGAACTCCCGCCCAACTCATTTCATTCGCACGGAGGGAGCGGCTCAAGTTGCAGGTAAGCGCCTTGTCGTCTGGCTGCAGTACCAGGCAGCTGTCCCCCACACGAAAACGACGCCAGAGACATCACACCAAATGGGCCGGAAACAGTACTAGCAGCAATAAAGAAGGGTACATGGAAGAAAAATAATAGCAGAAAAAAAAACAAGCACAGTCACATGCACGCGTTCAAAGCGCGTCCAAAGATGCTCTCACCCACAGAGCAGGGGAAGGAGTGTGTGCGATGATAGAGCGACCGAGGATGTTAGTCACCGTGTGTGAAAAGCCTGGGGTCAGCTTATTGCCCTTTTTTCCTTTCCCTCCTTCTCACTATCTGAGCAAGCCGCCGCAAACGATGGGCAATAAAACCAACGACCCAAGATTACTGATCCATTCTTCCTTCGCCAATCTGCTCGCGTTTCCCCTGTGAGTGTCGTGGCCGCCGCGTGCGAGAAAGAGCCGTGAGAAGGCTGTAGGAGCAAAGTCGCAGGGAAGGAAACACTCAAAGAGTTTTGCTGTAATATATATATATATATATATATACGTCGGGGAGGGGGGGAGGCGACGGACTGCACACGCAATGCCGCGGGCACTGCAGGTAACTGGCAGCAGCAGCCACACAAGCGGAGACCGCCAAAAAAACAACAACAAACAAACAAAAAAAACGGACGAATAGAGGCTCCTCCCCTCATGCGTACACCCTCTCTGCTCTGTTGCCTCACCGCAGCACATGTCCCCTCACACTCACACACACAGACACAACCACCCACACACACAAAACAAAAAAAAATAGTTTGAGGGACGTTTTTTTTTCCCTTTACTCCCCGGCCCCATCTCACCGCCCTTTTTTTTTTGTTCTGCAGCAAACAATTAGCAGGCACCTCTTTCACTTTTTTTTTTGTTCTGATTCTTCCTTTCTACGTGTGTTTCTCTGTCCATCGTGACTGCAGCGGAAGCCGCCCTTCCTCTTCCTTTCTGTCATCAGTTGCACCGCGCACAAACAGAAGGAAAAGGAACAGGGAACCAAAAGCCAAAGAAGCAAAAACACTAACAGTGCAACACCACAATCGTAGTCTTAGAAATGAAGGAATGCGACGGTGGCAGAAACATTACATTGCCTTCCTGCCACATCTTCCCCGCTGCGTCCAGCGGCACTGTGCGGAGAAGCCGCCGGTGTCAGGCGCCCACCACCCGAAACGAAGTAACACGCAGGCAAGCACTGCGGAGCTCCGGGCGTAGTCACCCCCGCCTGATAAATGGCGGGGCACAGGACACCACCGAACGAACTGCCTCTGGGAACATTTCGTCTGCCTTCTTCTGCAGCTTGACGCCCGCAGCGTGGGCCTCCTCCAGCCACTCCTGGCGCACGACCTTGTCCTCTGGACGCAGCAGGAGGCCCGTGGTTCGACGCAGCGTCGTCTCCTCAAGCAACACCGCCCGCACCCAGTCCCCTGTCTGGTCCCGTAGCGTTCGGTAGCCCCAGCGGCACGGACTCCCTTGCAAGGTCAACTGGACCGCGCTGGGGGAACGAACAGGCCATGTTGCATGTGGTAGTCGCCGTCTCCGCAGGGTGGAACGAAGCGTGGTGGCTGTGGGGACAAATGTGGCGTCACCGCAGTGCCTCAGCTCTCCCTCGTACACCAAACTTGTGTCGGAAAGGGCGGTGCAAGTGACGTGAACGCGCACGTCGTACAGCTCCCCGATGGGCTCATCCTCGGAGCGGCCACCGTGAAGAAAAAAGCGAAATCCCGGCATCACCGGATCCACGCACATGGCTGCCATCGTCCGACCGTCCGGCAGGACGGAGATAATGTTCTTCATGGACTCCCAGTTCTGCGCGCGCTCGCCTTCCCGTGTTGTGAAGTAACCAGCAGGAAATGGTGAAGGCAAACACCCAACATCCACGTACGCCTCGCGCCATATATGGCGCATGTAGTTGTAGACGTGCACGTCCTTGTGGGTTTCGATCAGCCCGCGTCCGTCGTACGTAAACCCACCAAATATGAAAATCTCCAGCCCACGTGCCACCATCACCGCTCCTGTGCGCCAAAGCGCGGAGCTGTTACAATGCCTGCACCGGTGCGGGGTGCTTACCGGCGTTCGACACCTCCTGATATCGCGACGCAGCAGAATAACATTCTTGACATACTCCAGAATACGCGCCCCCGGTTTCTTGTCGTAGGGGCGCAGGAAAAATTCCCGCATAAATCGCAAAGGGGTTTCCTCCCGCACCATGACCCACTGTCGTGTGTAGGCGTTAAGCACCCACAGGTCATTGTAGAAGTGGGTGCTGTCGCGTCCGCCAAAGACGAAGAGAAAGAAATCCCGGCAAACCGTGGCACAGGCCCGCCGTCTCCCAGGAAATATATACGGAGCTATTGACGGGATGACCTCCACCACCCGCGCCTCCCCTTCGCGGTACCGCAGTTTGCCGGACGAGTGCGGCGGAGTGGTCAAGTACAACAGGTACGTGGTGTTGTAGGCCTCCGTGTCACGCATCCCACCAAACACCACCACCACCTCAGTGCCACGCTGCTGCTGCGGCTCCTCCTCCTCCTGTGCCTCCACCACGGCTTCTTCCGCTTCCAGCGAGGACGAGACCGAGGAGAAGGGTGCGCACAAGGACTTCGGAGACAGCCGCTTCGCAGAAGCACTTGCACAGACAGGAATAAGCAGCGTCTGGGCCACCGACCCCCACCTCGGCGGTAGCTGCATGGTAAGCTGCACTTTGCTCCAAAGCCGCCGCTCAATGTCCAGCTTAAACGCAGGGGCAGCACCGCCATTCCCGCCCGTCACACCGCCATGCACAAACAAAAGGCGTCCGCCCCCAAACAAGGTTCCACTCTGCCCAAATGCCTTTGGCGGCATCTCGCCGTCCACTACTTGCTCCTCACCACTGACGCTCTCACTGCTCAAACGTGAATGGCAAGGCTGCTTAGCAGGGGCACCGCGGCAAATAAGCTGCACCCACCGCTGCGCATCAATCAAATACTCCCACGTGTCATTGAGAAATGAAGTCGACCCAACCTCAAGCCCACCATGCAGGATGAGACTTCGACGAGGACCACAGGAAAGCAGGAGATGGCCGCTGCGGGCGGCTGGTACCTGATGCAGTGGCTGAAGCAGCTCCTCGGGTGTGTGTAGACTATAGGGCGAGGCGGTGCCCAACCTTTGGCATGCTGCCGCCTGCGATGAGAAAGGCTCTGAAACCATTGTTGCCTCAGTTGCATCGTCCTGCGACAATGAAGACTGCGGTGCCACGGCCAGTTTATTTGCAGCACTATCATGCAGCTGAAAAAATGTAGCATGATACCGCACCTCAAGCGTGTCTAACTCCTCCACAACGACGTCTCCCATTCTGGCGGGCGACTCTCCGGCGTATAATTCCCTATTTCGCAGGATGGGGGACGACATTGACTCTCCTCGCTTCCTTTTCCGTTCCGTCTCCTACGCGCGCAGCTCCCTCCCTGACACTTCGGGAGCGGCACCAGCGGAAAGAAATCGTTAGTTCGCCACCAGAACTGTCCTTCGCTCTGACCTCCACCCCCCCCCCCCTTCCTTGTCAATATCTTCTGGGCCCACGGGAGTCGACTGTTCCCGACCACCGCAGCCTTCCTGTTTGCCTTTTTTTTTGTTTCTTTTCCCTTTTTCTCGCACGTTCACTCCGCGCCAGTGACACCCACATGCAGGCAAGATGCGTGTGTGTGCGTAAAACGAATATGGTGAGCAAGAGGAGGGGAAAGAAGAAATACAAACGGATGCATCAAGTCACAGGAACGGGGAGGTGTATAAATGTGTGCAAACACAAAAGAAGGGGCCCCGTCGCCTTTTGTTAGTTTCTCCTGTAGAAGACATCAGCACATCAGTGTGCAAAAGCATTAGAATACATACATACACACACACACACATACTGCCTGGAATAGAAAAACAAAACAAAACACAGCAAAGGAAAAGGACAGATCAAATGTTGATCCTCACTGAAGGTGTCAGTGAAAACATCAACCCGACTGCCATACATAAAGATACAGATATATATCGATATGAATATAGATAGATAGATACAGGTACATGGGTCGTATATATAAATATGGCGCAGCAGCCGTGGTTGTCGTATCGTGACCACAGCCCAGCCCATCTGCCCAGGAAAACATATATTTACTTATACCGTCCGAGTGCCAACAGCGCGTGCGAGAACAACAACGACCAGCATAAGTACATCCAAAAAAAAAAACGAGATAGAAACAAAGGAAAGCGTAAGTGTGTGTGTGTGTGTTTGTGTGTGTGTGTGTGGGTAAATCTTTTTGGTGACAGCAACGAAGACGACACCCACTGAGGCTGTCGCCAGCATGGCGAGGAGAGGTCCCCAACCTCCCGACGCTCACGCAGTGAAGGTGCATCCTGCACGAAAAATAAGAATCAAACAAGAGAAAAATAACGTACACAGCTTTGGAGGGGAGGCCGTGGTCGTTCCTCCTACGCACGCAAAAATAATAATAATAAAATACAATTTTTGTTAAAAAAATGAGAAAATAAACAACAAAAAAAGAAGAAGACAAATTAACCGACCAGTCAAAAATAAATATAATAATAATAAAAGAACAACAGCAAAAGTATGCGTCTGGCTGGGGCCTCGCTACCTTACTCCTACACAAAAGGCGATGGCTGTCTTGGTCCAGTGTGCGCTCGCCATCCTCGCGTCAGGGACGTCCCCCCCCCCCCACCCACTCACTCACACGCACAGAGAGAAAGAGAGAGACCCCAAAGAAACAAATAAATTCAAACGGCGCATGACTATGATATAACGATGACTGAGGGGCTCTCGCTGTCAACTCGCAAAGTAGCCGTCTTGTGGGGTCCCGTCAGCAGGTGGCATTGGGGTGTAAAAATGGCAAAAATAAGAAAACAGCAAATAATAACAAACAAACAAAAAAAAAGCGGAATAACAAAAACAAACTGCACTACCGCGGCCCCTCCAGCGCGGTATCACTGAAAACACAAAACTCAACTCATCCACAATAAGAAAGCAGGGTAACCAGGAAAGGCGCGCCATCAACACTACTACGCTCCATCCAGTGGCACATCGCACTTCCACACGCTTGTAACTGCGAGAGGGGGAAAAAATAATAATACACTCATCCGTAGCCCAAGCTATGGGCAAAAAAAAAACAACAACATATATATATATATATATATATATTCCTTTATAGAACTAGATATATTTCCTTGGACAGAGAGCTCAGCCCTTCTTCACCACCACCCACGGCACTTCCATGTTCCCCCCTTCTTTTTACCTTCCCAACGAGAATACAAAAATAACAGCAGCAAATCACATCAACTCGCCCATGAATACTTTGACACCAAGGTGGTGCGCCCAATGGAGTGTCCGTCTTCTCTCTCTCTGTGCGTATGTGTGTGGCAAAGAGGCGGATGGAGAAAGATGGGGAATACATGCTCGTTGAGAGAAAAGACAACACCCCAAAGCAGCAAGATGAAATAACTGTGTATCAACATCGATTCCGTGGCTTATCTTGTTCGACAACTAGAAGGCGAGTCACCAAGGGATAGAGGGAGGAAGGGAACGAAACCCTCACCAGGTTCTCAAGACTGCTTTGTGGTCGTGGTCGTGCATGCGCGTTAGGCCACCCATGGGCCCCGTCTCGCTGAATTGTTAAATCTCGCTGAATTGTTAAAAAGCAAAACAACTCCTCATGCCTCTGCTGCATGTACGGGTATGAGCTTCGCACAAGGCCCAAGGGGCTCTTCTATGTTTCCTCTTTTTACCTTGTAAGCAGACATATATATATATATATGAGGGATAGTTGCTGCATTTACTCCTCCCCTCAACGCTGTTTGAAACTGCCTTCTCTGACAAATCACACATTTTCATGTTTATTTTCACTTTCAGACACAATCTCCCACAGAGAAACTGTCTCACGATTCCGGGGCGCTCTACCATATAGCGCGGTTACCATGGAGCAAGGAGAATGCAGAACATACACAGGTGCATACATAATTAGACACAAAAATATAAATTCCTATGCCAAGCATATGACTATACAACACCGTTATGGGCGCGTGGCTTGGTCTAGCTCCGGCATCGCCACTATCTCGAAGTCGCTTTCCAACGCTCCTGGGGGCTTGGCTTCGGCAGCAGCGCCCTGTGTGTGATTAGCCGAATAAGGTGGATTCACGCCGATACACATCGCAGGCTAAGTATTGAATGAATTCCAAGTGCTTCCTACATCTTTCTGCTTTCCTTCTTGATAGTAGCAATACTGTGGCGGTTGAGCCGGTTGCTTCTGTGGAAATTGGTATTGTTGTTGGTGCTGTTGCTCATTCCGAGCAAGCACAATGAGCCGCACCAGCACCTCAAGCTCCTGCATGCTTAGCCCCAATATACTTCCCTGCACTGTGTTTGGAATCTGCGCCGAGTTCAAAAATTGGGGACTAGGCTCATTCGTCAGTTGATGCGGTTGGTCCATGCGCATGATGGCTGAGGGGTTAAACATAGGCGGGGTGGCGCATGGCTGGGGAAGCCCCATGTATTGCGGCTGGGACGGCGGCTGAACCCCCCATAATGGGCATAAGGCTGAGGGCGGTTGCAGGGTGTGCGGGAGTTGCTGTTGATGCGGCGGCCTGATATTGAGGGGAGGCGCGACATTTGGAGCAAAAAAATTGGAATAGGGACGCATTGACGCGTCGACATTTGCCGGAGGCAAAGAAGTCCCTGCGTAGGGAAGCTGGTGGACCAACGGGTGCATAGCCACACCAGCCGGTGAAGAAGCACTTACCACTGTTGCTGTTGTAAATAACTGTTGTTGTGCCTTCTGCAGCTGTGACAGGTGCGCGGCGTTGGCGTCGATTGGGGGAATTCGCATAGAAGACGCACCGCTTTTAGACCCTCGCAACCTCGACGACCCCCTGAGAACCGAATTCCGCATCAATTTCGTGTGTCGGACCTCCTCTTCTCGCTCCCGCTGTCGTTGTTGCTCCATGTACGCCGCGAGCTCTTCCTCCGTGAAGACACGATGTTTCACCACACCCGCTGTGAGAGATTGCTGCTGTGGGTTCTGTGCCGCCTGCCCCGCATCACTGCCGACAACCTTTTCCCCTTCCGCGTCCGTTTCTTTCCTCTCCGTCTCCACCGACTCATCTGCCGCGACATCGCCGGCCCTCCCACGACTGTGTGGCTGCTGCTTCTCGTGGTGGGATGTCCAAGATACGGAGGCGAGTGGTGGCGCCGCCTCCTCCGGCTTACGAGTAGGTGCAGCAGCGTCGCTACGACTGTTAATAGCGTCCATTGACACAACCTGCATCTCGCTCTCTTGCTGTTGCTGCTCCTGTCCACTCCGTATCATTGTCGCAGGTAGGAGCGGGGGACTCGTCGGCTGAACCTCGTCACACTGCGGAGGCAAATAAAACGCTTCTCCCTGTTTTTCTCCTCTCCGCCAGCGGAATCCCAGGTGCACTTGTGTTTCTCTTTTTTGCGGCGTAGTAGAAGAGTTTGAACGCCTCTCTCCTTCCCTCCTTTTCCTCAGCGTTTGTTCCAAAAAATATTACCCCCCCCCCCCCCCCACGCGAGAGAAAAATCGGGATAAAAACATCAAGAGGCTCCTTTCGCTCCCCACAAACACAAACACAAACACACAGGCAGCAACGGCAGCAGAAGCAGCACAAGAGCGAAGATGAGAACGGGGAAGGCGCAACAGTTTACAAATACAAAAAACACCCCTATTCCCCTTTGCCTCTCTGCAGACATGCACTGCGCGGAGGCAGAGAAACACAGTTGGCCAAACTCATATATTCACACGAATACACACAATTATTGCGGCGCGAGAGATGGGTGCAAAGCAAAACAAATGCACGGGTTTTGGGACACAAGAAACGTATTAGGAGCGGATCGCACGGAGGGCACGCAGCGCTGCCTCAGACGCGGCATTCTCCGCGTCCTTCCGTGTTGTGCACCACTGCGTCCCCCTAAATACCGCGACGCCCCCCTTCTTGTTGAGCAGTGGGAGCTCCACTGTTGCCAGGTACGTGCGGGGCCCTTTGCGGCCCTTGCGACCGCCCTCCACCTCCAACTGCTGCTCCTCCACTGTGAAGACGACAGACTTATGCACAGGCGTGTGTGGCCATCGTGCAGCGCACTCCTCCTTGAGCAAGTCGCTCATGTACTTCCTCTCTTGCAACCCCTCCCGCGTCTTTCGGGCCTCTGCGGTGGGGCCAACAATGACGTTGCTGCTGGGGTGCGGCTTCCGCATCACAGTCGGCGGCAGCGCAGCGGGAGTAGTTGCAGCCGTCGTCGTTCCTGCTTTAGTCCCCACCGTCCCCGCCGTTGTTAGACTGCCAGCCCCGTTTGCGTCGCCGTTCGCCACGTCGTTGCTGATTGCGTTGTTGTTTTTAATGTCGCGCCGCGCGAGTCCGGTGAGGGTGCCATCGGTGCGCTGCACCGCCTTATGCTCCTCCAGCAGCTCCTTCACAGCCACCCAGGCAAACCGCAGCTTGTCCAACTGCAGGTAAGTGAACCGGCGCAGAAGCCGCTTCTCCTCGTAACAGCAAAGAAAGTGCCCCCCGCCCTTGTCTTCCTGCAGCGGTGAGAAGTATTTGCCCGGGGCCTCCACCAGCGCACGAGTAATGCAGCGCGGCCCCCGCGGCGTGGGAAAGCGAAAGGTTTGCACCGTATAGAGGAGCGCGCCGTTGGGAATCACTTTGCTTTCGCAGGTGAAGAACGGCTCAAAGTGTGACAGTAATCGTCTAGTCTCTCGCACCTCCAGTGCAGCATCCTCCTCGGTGCCGCCACACGATGTCCCCCTGTGAGTCCTGGCTCCTCTCCGCTGCGCTGTCTTTGCCAAGATGCTTCGGCAGCCACCCAGCCAACTGGAACACCGGAAGTAGCCACTGCAGCGCGGCGAAGATGTTGACTGTGGACGCCGCCTCATTTTCCTCCAGCTCCTCCACCTGCCGTGTGAAGACGATGGGGTAGTCGATGGGGTTTGCTGGAGGCACCGGGGAATCCGCCGCCATCGTTCCCCTTTGGCTCCTCTCTGTGTGTTGTTTTCCCTTCACACTTGTTTGTTTCCCACCTTCTTCTTATTCTGCGTCACTCTCTCCCCCTCTCGCTATGAATTCCCCATAACAGGAGGATGAAAAAAAAAAAAAAAGGCGGCGTTGGGCGGTGAGTGTGCCCCCCGTTCCACAGCAGACTGCACAAAGGTGAATTGCGGGGAACGGGAGTGGCGGCTGCCTTCTTTCCTCCAGCATGTGCCTCGCGGACTCTCACGCCCTCCCGCTCGCACACACGCGCCCAGACCAAGAAGGTAAATTGGTATCATCATGCCAAAAATAATAATAGTAGTAATAACCAAAAAAAAAAACAAAAACAAAAAAACAAAAACAACAACAACAACAAAGGAACAATCATCGGGCATCGCGTTTTACCCTCCTGCTTGCCGGAAACTCCTTCCATCACCCTCACCAAAGCCAACACCGTCATTATCGTGGGGGTTGCAATAGGAGGAAGGAAACAACATCCTCGGCGCCGGTATCGTTTGTTTGTTTGTTTGTTTTTTACTTATTTTTATTGTTCGCTCCACGCAGTCACACACACACACACAGGCGGCGTGAAAAAGGTGGGAAAGGGGGAGGCGAAGGTTATATACAAACACAAACACAAACACGATGACGGCCTTTATAGGCGGATGCGGGGAGCTGAGATCATCCATGCAGGTCAAGGCAACCCTCCTCCTCGCCTCCTCTCCCCTCCCGGCTGTAATCCGGTCGTCTCTCTATTCACCACTGCCTCCTCACGCAAAGAGGTTCATCACTTTGACCGTCCCATCTTCGCCCTCCGTCGGTCCAAACGCCGACCAGAGAAGAAAAAACGAGAATACTGAGAGCACGGAGATACAAACGACGTAGATAATGTCAATAGAGTCCTCGATCAGCCCCCAAAGCAGTTGTACTGTCATTGCGACGGTGCTTACGGTGCCACTTATTGCGGTCTGTAACAGCGGGACCGACCTCATGACAATCGTGCAGAGGGCGTCGCCTAGCTCCAAGATAGTCATCTCACGACTAGAAGGTGCCACATTTCGCGGCAAAGACGAATATCCGTTGCGGGTCCCACTTGAAGGATTTTGCGGCCGCAAAACCCTCTCCCTGCAGTGCCCACTCGCTTGTAGTCGATGTGGCAGCATCCGTTTTCCCATGTGTTCTAACATTGATGAACAAACTGGTGAGACGCGCACAGCATCCTTCACCCGCACCGCCGCGGATGCCATCGATTCTGGAATTTTACTGACGCTGGAAGCGACGAGCTCCGCATTGCTGCTCCGTGAGACTTTATCCTCTTCTTTGCCCCGATGCAGCTTCTCCAGGAATGTTTCGTCGCAGCAGACGGTGTGGTCTAGCATATCCACCGTTGCCTCCGTCTCAGTGCGCACGTGACAGCCCGTAAACGACTTCATCTTAACGAAAGCTGGGAGGTCAGAGGAGACTCTTCCCTCCAGTTCCGGCGGCTGCAAACCCACCCCCTCAGGGCTTGACACCTTGGCGTCATCATTAATTTTGCTGGGTGGTGGATAGGAAACGGTGGATGCACCGGGGCTCGCAATCGACAATATGGGGGATAATCCGTTTCCGTTTCTGTCAGGGCGTTCAACCAGGTGCTCAGAACCACACTGCCGCCCCGCCCCCCCTCTTGCGCCACCGCAGCTGCTTGTTACGGGAGACACCTTGATGATTTCTCCCGCCGACGCCTCTTTTATTTCCTTAGATGGAGTGCCGTCGCCGTGTTGAGGTCGCCATGGCACTATGACACAACCGTTGCCATGGCGACGGCGTGCAAACATTCGGGCGGAACTTTTGCTGTACGGCTGTTGATATAGTTGGAAACTGCAGCTGCGAATAATGCTGCCGTCCATGTTTTTGAGCCACCGCACTGGATTGCCGAGCAACGGCGGCAGGTAATCATAACTCTTTCCGCTTTCCTGCAGGTGTTTAAGTGCCTTTTTTCGACCCTGAATGTACTTTTCCTGCTCCCGTTTAATCCACTTCAAGGCGATATTGACGTAGGCGTCCCCATTGCCGAGTTGCCCGTAGTAGACAAAAAAGTAAGGGGATTGCAAAAAGTTATGGTGAGTTGTGTTTTGGATGCTCACCACAAACTGTGTGTGGGACGAACTGTCAATATCGGACAATTCTTCACTGCATCGTCGCGTCGAGGTAATTACAGAGGACTCGTGGGAAGACACAAACTTGTCACTGAGGCTGTGAGAAGCATAGGGGAGACTTCCCCCGGCTTGCCGCCTCAACATGGACGAGTTATCGTCCGGCAAGAGCGCCGCGTTGGTGGTGGCGCCGCCATTCGGAGTGCCAACCAGGTGTATATCACCGGTTCTCGCGCCAGACGTCACGGTGGAAAGTTCCACCTGACCGTGAAGGTCCTGAGTTTTTGTCTGCAGTTCCGCAGCGGTGTAACTTTGCCTTTCGCCAAAACTACTCTCCGCGATCTCAGAAAGCCGAGCACGCGACGACGATGAGTCCTCCGGTAAGCAGATATCGCAGTCGCGGCGGGCGCTCCCCGACAGCACGTTCAGCAGCAGCGTCCGCTTCTCGCCCGGCAGGAGAACACCGTCGGGGAGCACGGACCCGACAAGCGCAAAGTGGCTCGGGTGGGTGGAGCGGAGGGAAAAGATGACGGCTGAGACGTCCTCGTCGGAGCCGGCGGTGCTCCACACGGAGAATTCCAATTGGCCGTTGGGCAAAAGCGTCGTCCGGGCCTGCACGCGCGACATCGTCCCCGCCTCCGCCTCCGCCCCCGCACCAACGGACACACCGTGACTGCCCTTCCAAGTCCTCGCCGCAACCCTTACTTCTCTCCTCCTCCTCCTCCTTTCGTTTTATTACTGCTTTGTGTATCCTCCTCTTATCAACCAGAACTGAAAAGAGCCAATCCAAAACTAGAAAAGTGCCAACTCAGAGTGGCGCGAGGCCAAAGTCACAGCGGCGCCGGACCATAGACACACGTGTGAGGCAAATACACCACAACACCACCACAAACAGACATCAAACAACACGCACTCAGGCCCACCACTTGGTTGTCATTTCTTCCCTCAGTGTCCCTCTCCTTCTTCACCCCTCTCTTTGCACGCATCTCTCTCTCTCTCTCATATATATATATATATATATATATATATATATATATATATATAT